TCGTCGTCGTCATAGGCCGCGGCGGCGCGCTGCGCCTCCAATTGCCGGCGCCTCTCCTCGGCGTGCTTCTCCAATCCCTTGAAAACGCTGCTCTTCTCGGGTGGAATTCCAGATCCGTTAGCCAGCACCGCGGATGGATCGGACGCCGTTTTCTGGTTCTGAGTTTTCCGCTGCTTTTTCACGTAGGTGACCTTCTGCCAGCCGTGGCTGTTGTCCTCGGCGGCGTGGCTGATCGGCTCCGCGGTGATGGTAAATGATTTGTCTTCTTCCATTGCGGAGAGGATTTTTTTTCAATTTATTTTTTTTTACGTTTTTTGCAGTGTGAAATCAATGGAAATGGATCGGAGATTGAAATGGAAATCGGTATGAAAGGAGAGAGAGTAAATAAGAGTGGTTGGCAGTAATGGGAATCCAAATTGACCTCCGTCACTGCGGGTGAAAATCCAAACGGGATATGACTAATCTATATTTGACTTAATTCCACTATTCACCCTTATTAAAAAAAATATGATTTTATTCTTAAAATCATATTTTGATTTTATCAATAAGAAATTTTATCTAATAAATTTAATACAAGATCTAATTAAAAAATAAACATATTACTAATTAAACATATATTAGAAAATACTAATTGAATAATTAGGTGGTAAGTAAATAATTAATACAATCTCATCTAGTCTAAATTAAGAGAGAACATGATACATTAGTCGGCGTACTTTGTCGTCGATTATGATTAGTCGAATGGTATTGTAAGTTTTTTTTTTTTGTGAGAGAAAGTAAGATAAGTTAGAATATGTTAGGCTAAGTTTATAAATTGTTAAAAGTAGCTTATAAAGATGTTTCAGAGCTTATAAATTTTTGATTGTCATTTTAAAAAATCTTAAACACATTATAAAAATAAGTTGTTGGAATACAGTTAAAATCTTATAATGGATAAAAGTATATATAAGATGATTATTCAAACACTTTAAAAATTGATGCAAAAAATAAGAAGTAATATTTTATTAGCTCGTAAAACAAATTATCAGATGTAAGATTTATTAACAATTTAAATAAGTTTATTATATCGGGCCGTTAGTCGCTTATAAGGGCCCGATTCGCGTTAAATTACTTAAGGGGTAAGTACATATAAATCCCCAAACACAAACTTAAAGTGCGGATCAGTCCCTACAGACGTTTCATAAGCGTATCGGTCCCTAATGCAAAGTTTCACATGCAGTTCAGTCCCTAGAGGCAATTGAAAATTCTAAAATACCCTTTACTTTAATCTGAAATTACATACTTTTTCATTTTCTCTCTCTTACTTTTCTCTTTCTTCTCTCTTTCCTCTTTCCTATTTTTCTATGTCTCTTCTCTCTCTCCTTTTCTTGCCCGTTCCAATTCAATTTATGTTATTTTTCTTCAAACAACAAACGAAAATGAGCACGAAAATGCGCAAGAAAACCAACTCCTAAATCAATACAAATGAAGCAACAAGAACAAAGAAAAAGAAGAACCAAGGTAGTAGAAGAAGAAGAAAAAAACAAAAAGAAAAGAGGAAAGAGACCCATTTTCGAAGAATGGTGAAGGAGAAGAAATAAGATTTGACTTGTTTCCCCTAATCATTAACTCGGTTCCAATATCTGTTATTTTGTTGTTCGAGTTTGTAAAGATCATTTATTTAATGTCGATTTGAACACTCTTCTCTTGGGTATTATTTTTCGGCGACATTAGCATGTTCCCAAAGCATTTTTAGTCCTAGCAAGGATTTGATGTATGATGTTTGATGACTTTGATATAGGAAATGGGAAAAAGGTTTATTGTATTATTCTTGGTGATGTTGTAGTATATGCCATATGCAAAAGTGGTATTCCTAATGCATTTGGATGGTGTTAAAAGAGAGTATTGGAAGTACTAGTAGTGGAACTTTATAGTGGGTTATATTTGATATAATTGTAATTATGTGTATGTAGTTGCAGGAATATGTCATTTGTTATAGAGTTAACAATACTATTGGTCAGCTCTACTCGTACTTTATATTGAAAACATTGTACCATATATTTTGATGAATTGTACTTACCTGTTAAAGTCATGGTACTATATTGTGTTATGAATTGAGTTTATATGGTTGACTTGGCCACAAATTAGTATAAATAATATAAGTGTATTATACTAATGAACAACACATATTTTCTAGTTTATTTGAAGATACCGTGTCAATTCTAGACATGTACTTCACATGTGTATTCACTGTACTTACGTGTTTCACACATCGAACTATAGTTTGTGATGAATTGAGTTATACCGATTTCCATGACACTTTAATGATCAATTAGTATAGGAGATGCATAAATTATGTTTTAGATGTGTATGTTAAGGTTGGTGAGCATTATTGTTGCGTTTGGAGTACAAAATGCCATAAATATGTTGAATTTCATACATGATACTCATATAAGTGTACAAAATACCATAAATGTGTTGGATTTATTACATGATACTCATATAAGTGTATAAGGCTCATGCGTAGAGCTAAAATTGCCCTCAAATGTTCCCATAATCTATGTTGATCAACTCCTACATCATCTCATTTCATGTTAATAGTCTTAAAATGAAGAAATGCGTCTTAAAATGATATTATATGGATGCATTGGCCCCACAATAATATAAAGAATATAACAGTACAATATGAATGGACAACATATACTTTATGAATAAACTCACAATACTATATGCATGAATAACTCTAACTTTACCAGGTTATACATTGTACTTATAATTTGTGGAACAAAACATACTATATTTTGTGATAAATTGAGTTGAACCAATTTCATTGACACTTTAATGATGAATTAGTATGGGAGAGACATAAATTATGTTTTAGATGAGTATTGTAAGTTTGGTGAACATTAGTGTTACGTTTGGAGTCCACAAATGTGTTTGATTTCCTACATGATATTCACATATAGTACAAGACTTGTATGTAGGACTAATATTTTTCTCAAATGTTACCATAATTGATGTTGATGGATTCCCACGTTATCTCATTTCATGTAATTAGTCATAAAATGAAGGAATGTCTCAGAAAATGAGTTTATATTGTTGCATTGGTTCCAAAATAATATCTATAAAGCAAGCGTACCATATAAATGGAGAACATCTACTTTTTCATTGAAAGAAGCGTACTCTATAAATGGACAACACGAGCATCACTGGTGTAATGCATTCATTTCTATGTAGAATAAATTGTACCATAATTATAATGAATTTAATTGTACCAATTTCATAATAAATTTAGTGATTAGTGAGTGTGGGAGGGACATAAAATATATTTTAAATGACTATTTTAAGATTGATGAACAATGGTGTTGCGTTTAGAGTTCAAAATGCCTCAAAATGCCGACATGATACTCACTTAGACAACACGTACTTCACCACAAAACCAAATATACTTGATTCTAGACGTAAGCGTACTATGTTGACGCATTTATTCTACTACATGACTAGCAATACTAGTACTTTTCATCTCTTATTTCAACACCATCCAACCACACTAGCAATACTATTGTTTAATACAACATATACAACTGCAGTCACATAAAACACAAAATGTTTCAAAAAATAATACGAGAAACGTCTTTCTCAGAACCTATATCAAACTATCAAACATCTTTTAAATATGTGACTAGAAAAAAAAAATCAAATATTGTTTCTTCCCCTTCACAATTCTTCAAGAATGGGTCTCTTTCCTCTTTTCATTTTGTTTTCTTCACGAGTTTTTTCTTGCGCCTTTTCATTTGTTGTTTAAAGAAAAATAACTGAAAATTGAGTTTTGAATTAGAACGGGGCAAGGAAAGAAATGAGAAAAGAGAGAGAGAGAAAAAGAGGAAAGAGAAAAAAGAAAAGAAAGAAAAAAGGAAGAGAGAGAAAAATTAAATGAAGAGAGAGACAGAGAGAGAAAAAATAATATAATAATGCAAACATAGGGACTGAACTGCATGTGAAACTCTGCAGTAGGGACTGATCCGCCTATAAAACGTCTGTAGCAACTGATCTGCGCTTTAAGTTTGTATTTGGGGATTTATCTATACTTACCCCATTACTTAAAATGAACCGAATCAAACCTACTTGAAATCTTTAAAAACTAGGTCCATGTGAACCGGGCCAGACATAAAAGAACTAATGGAAGTCCAACTCAAAATCATATGGATAAATAAAAGCCCAAATAAAAGGGTCAATATAGAAAAATTAAAAAGCCCTAATTTCCCAATTCATCTTCCGAACGGACCAAACCCGTCGGTCGCCACTCACTTCAACCACCGCCTCCGCCGGCGTCAACGCCGCCGTCAACGCAGTAATCCAAAAGCTTCGTTCAAAATCATCTCATCAAGCTCCTTCAATTCCCACTCAACAACAGGTATCTCTCTCTATCACGAAGTTTTCCTTTTGGCTTGCTGTTTTACTTGGAACAAATCAACGAAGTTTAAGCATTATTTACTGATTATCGAAAATTAACGTATATATTTTCAAGTTAAAAAGTAGAATGAAATTTGTTTTGATTTGTCTATGCATATAATGACTTTATTGTATGGTGTATTTTATTTAGTTTTGAAATTTGTTATCCCAAATTCCATATAAACATGTCAGAAATTTTTCAAGAGAATTGCTGTTGAAAACATTGTGGGAGTCAAGCAGTTTGCATGTACAGTGAAGATGTTTGTGTAATTGGTTAGACTTCGAAATATGACAGAACATAAATTTGCTTCTTATATGCTGTGATTTTAATAAAAATTAAAAGACAGTCAATCAACTCTTGCCCTTCTGCAAGAGTGTGTGTGAGTGAATGTGTGAAAAATGCGTGAGTGTGTGAAAAGTGTGCGAGTGTGTGCATGTATCATGTTTGCGTGTGTGGTCAACGGCACAATATCGAGTTTTTTTTTTTTTCTGAGCGCATGTCCAATTTTTTCTAACTTACAGAATGCCGAAGAAATCAAAACGACACCACCCACTCACCTTTACTCCATTTGCTCGGTCAATGGCTATGACATCATGTAAAAAGGCCAAGCAAGATATTAAGGAAATCAACTTACAAATCGAAGATTCCCCATCGTCTTCGGGTATGCTTTTCGTTCAGATTCCCTTTTTCCGTTTAAATTATTTCATCAAATTTGAAGGCCAATGCTCTTTTGCAGTTAACAGGCTTCTAAACAACGGCAAAGATAAAACTAAACAGTCTGAATCTTCTGACAGCGAAGATCTTGAGGTTGTCCCCTTCACCTTCATCTCACCACTTGTTGCATTTGATTGTTATAAATATCTAATCGAGTACTGTATTTGTTTGGGAAGGGAGTCGTTCAAGCAGATTTCGCCTTCTTTGATCCCAAAAATAGCGACTTCCATGGGGTGAAGGTTCTTTTGCAGACGTATCTTGATAATAAGCAGTGGGGTCTCAGTGGATTTGTTGACTTGATATTGGGTCAACCAACAGTGGGGACCGTAGTCAAAATTGAGGATGATGAAGATGAAGGAGTATACTCTGTTGTTTCTGCTCTCAATTTAGGAAGATACACGGTAATCTACTTAGGCCTTGTTTGGTTGGGTAGATTAGTCATGATTAACTAAATAATTGGACTTTGTTTGATGTTTGGTAAACCCAATAACTTCCCGGGTCGACCCAGAAATATTATATTATCATGCCGTATCATGCCTTTTAGGGAGCTTTTTGGTTGGACCTTCCGTTGTCCAATAAAACAATTGGGTTTTCATTAGATTATTTAATATTTCTTGGCTAATACTATCTTGGCAAACAAACGGGGCCTTATACTTTTGATATTCAACTGTCTATCCCGTTTTTCCGTCATTTTAGTTTTTCTCAAGAATTGTTGCTTAAAGTTCATTTAATATATGATGATGTGCATTTACTATCAGGATAGTAAATGTATTATTGAGCTCAAGGATTACCTGCTAAAAGTGTGCCGGGATATGGATATAATACCTCAACTCAAGTCTCTAATTGGGGAGCGTGCAAAAGATGTTGGTCTTATCGTCTCTCAGCGTGTTGTAAATCTGCCACCTCAGCTTTTGCCTCCGCTTTATGACTCTCTCTTCGATGAAGTAAATTGGGCAACAGAAGACGAGGTAAATAAATCACAATGTTATTATGAGACAAGGTTTGGAGATGATTATTTTTCTTGTCATGCTAATGACTTTTCTATTTTGTGTTGTTTAAAGCCTACAGAGGAGCTCCGAAGTTCGTTTCGCTTCAAATTTTATCTAATTATCAGCAAAATATATAAGGTACTCTTTGATGGAGCTCTGTATATGCCAATCAATACCGAGTAAGATCTAAGTAAATCAACATTTATTGATATTTTTTTTTCTTTTGCATGCTTATAGCACAAGAATGCAGTTGGGGATAAAGGGACAACTAAAAACGGAGATGAAAACGTAATTTACATCAAACCGGAAGATGAACTTTTCCTTGAGGTACCAAGCTTTTATTTTTTCTTCTATTTCTATATTTTCGGAATTTAAACCTGACTTTTATAAAATACTTCTGTAGTTTTGCTCGTGGTCCTTCAGTTTTCCGTTGCATGCACAGCAGGTCACAACGGATGAGGCAAGTATTGTTATTCCACTCTTATGATACTAATTTTCCTAAAGTTCGATGTATTTTCACGTCAGCTCTTTGTTATTTGCTGATTATTGAATTATGTTACCGTTACAGCTTAAAAATTATCGGCCAATGGGTTTAGTGATGGCTATTGAAGCTAGTAAAATATCCATATTCAGACAACAGATGCATTCTTTGATAGATGAATGAAATCATGCGCAGGTACGCATTTTGTCCCTTCTTTTTTTCTTTCTTGTATTTTCACGCATTTACTGAAGCCGTTTAATATAATCCCACAGGCATTCTGGCAGTAACTAGATTCCTTTTGACTTATCTGGGACATGTCATATAATTTCATTTGGTATAAGCTTATCTTATTCTTCACCGCCCCTCTCCAAATTGTGTTTTATTACCACATAATTTATTTTGGCTGTCCCGTAAATTTTGATAGTTAGATGTGGGTTTTATTGGCTGCAATGAATTCATCCATTAATATACAATTATGTTTTAAAATATTTTTGAGAAAATGTTGCAAATTATAGTCCTTATGGAAGAACTAAGGTTGAGAAATTTGAAAAGAACTGTATGTGTTCTAATGTTGTAATCATCGTTTAGATGTGATCAATGCGATTCACGTGCTAACTGATATTTGTATTTGATACTTTTTTTAAATATTTATTATTTGTTTATGTTTCAATTGGTTAAAGACTAACCGTAGCGACATGTATATATATTTTTTGCATGTGTATGATTTTTCATTTTACGTGTTTTCGATATAATTGCTGCTATGCAGTTAAAACATAGGTAATTTAGTTTTTTTTTGTCTGCTGTGATAAGTTTGGCTAGTTTTCCTGAAGTGTTGCTGTTTAAGTAATGAATTACCTATCTATTTAACTGGAATTTTAATTTCAAAATTTTGGATGATTCCGTTTACAACACCACGGAACTATTTAATTTGTTTTGTAATTAACTCCGTATTTTACACTTCGACTGATCCCGGTAATTTTTCCACATATAAATAAATTCCCTTTGTTACATTCCGAGTGGATGTCAGAGTAATAGCATGAACTTATTAGGGGTCATACTGAAATTTTATGCATATTAAGTTTTTGTGCTGCTATATGTATGTGAAAGATAGATAATATATTTTTAATTGAAAGAAGAAAAAAAAAGAAATTAATGACATTGCTAGAAGTTGGTGCATATTCTACATTGATTGAGCATGTGCTTTCATCACTGGTCTTCCCGTTCTATCAATCATAGAGGCCCCAATACTATATAAAGCAACTCCAGCTTTTTCCTTTTTAAGTACTTCTTCAGATATGGGTATTTCAAAAATAAATAAATAAATAAATAAACATATATATATATGAAGTGTATTAGATACAAAATATGATTTTCTTTTCTAAACATATAAAATATTATTTAAAAAAGAAACATATTTCAAAATTCTAAATGTATTCCCAAAGTTCGGAGGCTATCAGAATTTGAAACGGATTTTTGCTTTTACTTTTCTTAAAATAAGTTTTTTTAAGCTTTAAAAAAAAAACATTTCTAGACCCGTTTTTTTTTTAATTTAAGTTGATTTTCCAGCATATCTGTAGACACCCTAACTTTTGGAAATAAACAATAACTTACAATCACTAACTTCTGTTTTTGAAAACACCGTCTTCGTTTAACTTTCGATTGTAGTCTCAACCGTATATTGCAATGTTATAAATAAACAAAATAAAATAAAATAAAACGTTAGTAAATGCAACATGATTGATACATTCTTTAATATCCCTTTTCCCTATGTGAAAATACTCAACTTTTTCCTTTTGCCTTTCTGATTCCACTTCTGTGAAAATGTAGGTCAGATGCAACTGAGATTGGTGGAGATCTTGAGTTCATTTAGGGCCACCTCTTTTTTGATTCTTGATTTTGGCCACAACAAATTATGGTATATCAAGTGCCTTAGTTTTTAGTGTTGTCCAATCACATTAATTGAGTTTATTGCAATTATTGCTAAAAAAATTGAATCCGGGGTTTCTTTTGCTAATAAAATAACACTAGGTAGCTTTTTAGCAATTCGATACAATACAGGGGTACTAATTGAAATAAACCCCACATTATTTTCTTTTTCATTTCTCTTGCTTCTTTTGCATAATCGGAAAGGGAAAAAATAAAACTGCACTTGCCAAATCCTATTAGGTGAAAATTAATTTCACCACGGCCCGGCCCGGCCCGGGATCAATAAAATTTTATGTTATTAATTGCCGGCTGTAGACATCATTTTTGTTGTTCGTATCAATTAGTGCATTGCTTGTGTGAACTTAAATTGTAGATCTACACAAATAACTACACCGTAAGCTCGTATACATATGATTGTGTGTATTCTGTAAATCTGTGGTTTGAAGTGACCCGATGTACTTGATCGTTACAATTAAAATGAATATAATTTTAGATACCTAAATTTGACATATTTGTATTATTTACGTGGTCTCGAATCGAATGGCCGGCCGGCCGATATGTAATTGAGTAATTAACCAGTTTTGTATTATGCTACTTATCCTATGTGGTTCCTAATGATTGGCTCCATTTAATTATTCATTTGATGTGAGTTTAACTAATTAAGTATATAAATTGATGTTATTTTTTTCTGAAAAATGTTGGAATAATAGTTCGGATTTGGTATAATCTGTTTAACTTTTGGGTCTCGAGATAGGGAAATATGACATTGATGGGAAATATATCGCTATTATTTATTTATTTATTTAGGTTTTGATTGTATTATTCTTTTCTTTTTTAGGGAATTTTTTTTTTTTTTTATTGAGTGAAAATAATGTTTGGGTGGTCCAAGGAAGAATATTCGATTTTTGAGACTCAAATGAAGCTGGCATACACAATAAATAAATGACTTGGGTTCTATCAATTGTTATTTGAATATACCAAGCGTTACATTTAAAGAAATTCAAAAATTAATGTATTATTATTCTGTCCTTCCATAAACACATCTAGTGTGTGTGTTGTTGAATGTTGTACTAGTGGATTGGATAATTTATTGAACGAGGAAAGACAATCGAACGGATCAAACTGAAATTAAAAAGTTAATTACAATATATGTATTATTATGTGTAGATCAATTATGCGGATTAACTGGTGTATTTCACTGTGTATAGCATCAACAAAACCCGTTGAATCGAATCAAAATCAAGCTAACTATACAATGTTATAATTAATAATTAATAGATAAAATAAAATTCTTGGTCAATCAAAAAGGGACTAGATTTGTTTCGGTCAACACATAAATTTAGGAGATGCTTTGCTTTTTCACGTAACGGATTTTTGGACATATTAGTCTACTATTTTTTGATCTGAAATGTTAAATGTCGTTTCACTTTTACTAATGTTATTTTGACTTCGAACCTGATTTTGACGTATTTCTATTTTGCTTTTAGCAAAATTCCAAACACAAAAACCGTAGTTCTTTGGGTTAGCTTTCTAATCCAACTTAAATCCGCTAGATTGGATGCCGTGTGACAAAGTTATGCATGACTTAGTCACATTTCGAATTTTAGATATCTCAATACATCAAAGTTGTGAGCAGTATCCATTGATTCATGTATATCTTTCTCGTCCGACATCCAATTTTGGTGTTCAAGTTGGATTAGAATACTAACTTAGAATACTACAAATTCAATTTTCCGGGTTTTGAAAAATTTGGAATTAAAAATGATCAAAATCACGTTTGAAGTCGTAAAGGTATTATTAAAGCTCGAACAACATTTATCACATCAATTTCTTAATTTATAAATAAATAATTATATAACTTTGTTATAAATTTATATTTGCAAATATGATACTAGATGTTGTTGAATTTTTTAATTGCAGTTAAAAATAAAGCTCCCAATAACAGATTTTTGTGACACGTGTGACAGCAAGGCTTGGCCTAATCTATCTACATGTGCTAAAAATAGCAAAGAGGACTTTAAAACTGCAGCAAGTGCTGTGGGGCCAATCAAAACGCTGTTGTGCCCTACACGTGTCATTATCACGTGGGAGGTGGGCCCTTCTGGCCACTTCAACTGTGTGAGCTAATGTAGTGTGTTACTCATTGGGCCCTTGATGTTTTTATTATTACAAATAAGTCCCTCATACTTTGTAAATAATTGTCTCCCTTCATATTTGCACAAAATATCAAGAAATTCCATAATTGTGACTTCATTTTAATAAAGTCACGTAAAAATGACTTAAATAATCTTTATTGATTAAAGATTAGTAAGTTTAAAGCAAGAAAAAGATACATTTAATACAATTTTGAAAATATATAGTGACAAAAATATATAAAATAAAAATATTTTTCCAAAAGTGATAGTTATTGTGAAATAATTGTAAAAAATGGGGTCAATAGAGAATAATTAAGAGGTTGAGGGATCAAAGTGAAAGTCTGGTACAAATACGATTTTTATGATGGAAATTATAGCAGATGCATGCCAGCATGGGGAATTGAGAAGATAAGGCTGGGAGCAGTAACGCCGTTAAGACTCCGATTTCCGTACTGGCCTATCACCGTCCCACCGTTTAACGGAAGTTGCGGGTGATGTTGACGGCGGGGTCGTTTGGTCAATTTGTCTCCCCTGTGTGGGGCAGATCTGACACTGAATCTGGCTGTTATTTCATCTGATCTCCTCACGTCCTCAATCGATGAATAGTTTACACGCGCTCATTATTTTTGCTGAAGTTTAATTATTGAGTATTTTATTATTAAGGGTAAATTAGTAAATTACAACCACCCACGAGGTATGGTCAAATTACGAAAATCCCCTCTTGTTTGGGTAATTACAACCATCCATCAACTATAAATTTTTTTACATGTCCACCCTTGCGGTTTCAAATTTAGTGGAATCTTCGAGATTATATGGAATATTATCACTTTTGTACCCGTTTTATCAATCTCGAACTCCATATATTGAAGCAAGATAATCATAATATGTATTTTTCGGCTTGTATATATTAGATCAGGGGCGGACCCAGGGGGTTTTCTTGGGGGGGCTGAAATATATGGGTAATTTAAGAAAATAATTTTTTTTTTGTTTTTAGGACTAAAATGTACAAAATTAAAAGTTTGGGGGAGGGGGGCGAAAGTGCATTAACTAATACATAAATACCCAAAAAAAAAAAAACAAAAAACAGCTTAAATTTTTTTTCTGGGGGGGGGGGGGGGGCGGGGGCCCCCCCCCCCCCAAACTTGGGGATGCCCCCGTTTCAAATTTTGGGGCCCCAAAAAATGCCTTTCCCCCCAAAAAAGGGCAAACTTTTGCCCCTTCCCCCAAAAATTTTTGATTTTGGTGAATTTGACCCCCCAAGGGGGGGGATGTAAAAAAAAATCCTAGTTGGGGGGTTTTTGTAATGATCCCAACAAAAAGGGGTCCTTTGGAAATTTAACCTACCCCCGGGGGGAATTTTCCCCTTTTTTAATAAAAAAATGAAAAATATTTTGGATATGAAAAAAATGAAATTCCAAAACCCAAACCCCGCCC